ATATATATATATATATATATATATATATAGTATGATTTTGTTTACAGCAATCAGAGAATTTAGAACCGATTGACCCCAAAGTTGATCTGACAACCTTTACCATATGCCAACATTAACCAGAGATTCTTCACAATTTGCTGACACTGCACATAAATTTCAAAGCAATCGGTGAAGGACTTTGGGAGATTGGAGACTTTGAATAAAAGATTTGTTGCCAAAAGAAATTTCTGAAAGACAGAAAATACAACACTTAATAGATTACCGAAATTAAATTTCGTTAAAATAAAATTTATAAAATATCGATCAGATAGGACGATGTAATCCCGTAAAATTAAAGCGATGAGGAGAATGTAAACAATGGAAGACATCACAAAGAGATTTCGGCATATTTGCAGTATGGGATAGCTAGGGCTAGTTAATCTCCATGAAGAAAATAGTATGTTAAATGGAAAAGAAAGAAGGAAAAGCGCACGTTTCTAATATGTTTAATTGCATAATACTTCTGGGTATATAATATTTTTTGTTATTCCATTGTCTATGTAGATATGAAGATTATCTAGTTTGCTGACTCTAGAACACGACAACATATAATTTGTTCAGGTGAGAAGCAATCTGTATGTAGATCTAAACCGTACAATACTAAAGATTGACCCTGAGCTTTGCTGATGCTGATCCATGACGTCTATATATATACATATTTTTTTTGTTTAGATATATATATATATATATATATATATTATAATATTTGTGTAAGCATTTTGGATTAGAGAAAATCTTTAAAAAAACCCTGGATTTTCAGGTGATTTCAGCGAAAATTCCTGCTACTTTTGTCAGTGTATTATCAATCTGGGATATTGATTGCTATCATAAATCACTGACCGTGTTATCTACAACTATCACATATGGAAATATATGTTTAGGTAATTTGAATTAATGAAAATTTTAGATAAATTAATTTTTAGGCAATTTAAGTGGTAATTTAAGAGGGTTCTCGCCATTTTTTGACCAGCATCTTATCGATCTGGGATACTGATTGCTAGCATAAATTACAGATCGTATTATTCACTAGCGATTGCACGTCGAAATATCTCTAATTTTTGGATGACAGGAGATTTTAAAAAAATCCTTAATTCTTATTCGATTTTAGTGGAAACTTGACAAGATTTTTGCTATTTTCTTTTGTGTATTATCGATCTGAGATATTGACTGCTTATCATAGATCACTGGTCGTGTTAAGCTTGAGCATAGGCTTAGGCTTGCTTAGGGAATATATTTGTTTAATTAATTCAAGCTAATAAAAATTAAAAAAAAACCTTCATTCTTAGGCGATTTTAGTGAAAATTTGATTACGTTTTTGTTATTTTTGAAGAGTGTGTTATCGATCTGGGATACTGATTTCTATCACAAGTCACTGATCGTGTTTAAGCTTAGGTTTGAGCTTAGGCTTAGGAAAAATTCAGGCTAAGGCTTAAACTTAGACTTGGACTAGGTTCAGATTCGGACTGGGCTTGGATTTAGGCTTAGGCTTAGGACTAGACTTAGCAGAAAGTATTTGTTTGGTTACTTTGAATTGAAGAAAATTTTAAAGAACTCTCAATTTTCAAGTAATTTTAGTGAATGCTAAAGTCTTCACTATTTTTGGTGTTGTGTTTTCGATCTGGAATAATGATTGCTGTCACAAATCACTGACTGTGTTATCTACTAGCGATTGCATGAAATCTTTAAAAAATCCTTAATTTATAGGCGATTTTAGTGAAAATTTGACAAGGTTTTCACGATTTCTAATCATTGTGTCATCGATCTGTCATCGATGCCATCGATATCGATTGCTATGACAGATCACTGATCGTGGAAATGTTTGTTTGAGAGATCATAGGTAGAAATGTCCAAGTATTTCGGATTGAAAGAAATTTTTTAAAAATCATAGTTTTTGGGCGATTTTGTGAAAACACAAGGTTTTTGCTTTTTTGATCAATGTGTAATCGATCTGGGGTAGTGACTGTTATTACAAATCACTGACCGTGTTATCAACTGGCATTTTTCTGTTTCATTTTTTCTTGCAAGCTGTAAAGCCGAGAACTTATCTTTCGGATCTGAACGCAATCTCTACGTTATCTTGTGTGGCAATTTTGCATCCGCTATGCCGCTATCATGTCTGGGGCAATATTTATGCTCGTCATAGATGCAGTGAAGATTGAAGAAATGCGGATACACTTCTTTTTCCTAACAAAAGTGGAAATGGAACCTAAAAGAACTGGGTTCTTTTAGAAAAAGTAAGGGAAGTAAGGGAAAAAAAAGTAAGGAAAGTAAGGGAAGTGCCAAATTTACTGCTATACCCCATTTCAATTCTGTTTTGACTATGCTTACGTTGAAATAAATTCGAAACGGTAGCCTCGCTCTGCAGATTGTTTTATCCAGTTTCATCTTTCCTATAACCACATTTTTACAACAGCAACAGTAAAACAGTCAAGAGAACTTCATAAGTGGTGAGTGATAGTGAAGAACAAACACTTTTGGTACCTGAGAATAATCACAAAGTCCGTACTTGAAGAACTTTGCCCTGTACTTTTCGAAATGAGTGTTACACGCTATGACTGCGTCACATCAGAAAAAAAGTAAACTTCTGTACAAAGAAAAAAACTGGGCTAACGGATTTTAATCGTAACTTGATGTCAATCAGTCGTTTTGGGAAGTTTACTTGATATAAACTTGAACATTCCCCTTTAGATGAATGCACGATAGACCAGCACAATCTTAATATCCTGAACAATTAATTTCAACCGAAAAACATTTCTATTGCACTAATAACACTGAAACTGCCTGAACTGGTGCTCGCAAAGTGATAATTATCTATAACAATACACATAAATTATGAAATAGATACTCCAAATATTAACAGATAGTTTGCAACATAACAGTAAGAAATTTCCCGCTTTAAAATATTTTTAATGCATACCATTTATTACCATTTATATGTTCACACGAAATAAAACATGAGAAAATAATTTATGACAGAAGCATGACGAAATATGCTCGCTTTTTCCAATTTTTCTGTAAGGAAATCCAAAGAGATATTAAAAAGTGGAATATTTTTCGCGAGGAAAATTTATCTAGTGTAATAAAGGTTGTCCATGTTTCAGGTGTGCTTATACTTCTGCTTCATTAAAGAATAAGCTATATCCTCAGCCACTTCAAAAGCATTTTTATCACTAAATTTCCTGTCTGAACATGCAATTTTCCAGTTCTTGATGCCTTGTAAAAGGATCTCCTCCAAGTTGAGACTATCCAAGTATGCCATCTGGAATTAACAAAACCTACAATTAATTATAATCGCATTAATCAAGGTTTGTTTTCAACCCTTCGCTTCCAGAAAATTTTATCCTAAATAACTTTTTAGAACTCTGAAATAATCTCGTATGCGTTTAACTATCCAGAATTTGTTTTTATTAACAGCTACAACAAACCGTCCCGCGCACATAATACACTGCTCGATTGAGATGAACTGGATCTACGGATCGCTGCATATAAAGATTGCGCCATAAAGCACCAGCCAATGTAGTGTCATCACACAAAAATCCCTAAATAATCATTGAATCATTACATAAAAGAACAGAAACAGAAAAATTGACAAATCCCAATAGAGAAGTAAAAAAATAGTGTATTAACCTCATCATATTCGAGGAATGTCTGTAAATACAAACCGGCCATACGACGTCTGTCACTTTTATGGTACAACATTTCGTGCAATTCTTCCTGCAAAACTTAAGAAGATACGAATGTTTGAGCAAAGTGAAAATCAGGGAAATTCTGCATCGCATGAGACCTTGTTTACTTAGAATCACGGAAAAATACCGAGACAACTCTCAGACGTTTATCAACGTCACCAAACATAATTTCGATAACGCTGTTCCTGAGCCTAATAAAAGCTGCTGCCTCTAACACAGATTGCAAGCGAACAAGTAGCATCCTGCAAACAATCATTCCCTCAAGAGATTTTAAAAAATAAAAAACAGTGGATTAACCAAAAAAGAAATCACACAAGAAGCAAATTGTGAAAAGTATGCAAATAAAAGTTCAATGACACAAAATAAATAAGTATAAGAAATGGATTAACCAGGTATGCATCAAGGTGAGCTTATACCATGTCGAAAGATAGTCCGGTAAGCAAAGCGCTGCAATAAAACACGCAATCTAAGTAAAAATAACATCTGCTAATTCCTACTCTGAGAAGAGGTGGAAAAATAACAGATTCTATGAAATGAATTTGAAAAATCCAGTGAATTCAGAACAAATAAACTTGCCGGTGCAGAGCTTCAAATATGGAAATCGATTAGCGCAATCAAAATACAACTGGGCAGCAGAACGGTCCAAATTCTAAACTCCCGTGGATGAACAATAAATATTGTAAAAAAAAAACCTAGAACAAAATACATTTTTTTTAAAGACTGGTAAATTTCCATGATTACATGACTCGACAGGAACCCGGTCTTGGGAACAGTGTTCAAGATAAGAGACAAGCTAACTTTTAAGAAACGCTATTTCATTTGCTTAATCAAACAAGAGGTCGACTCCCTTTTCTACTTCGTCTTTTAATAAGGAGTGTTTCTTTTTAACTGATAGATCAAGTTTCACCCCAAAAATTGCCAATATTCAAACAAAGAAAGATTTTCGATTTTATTCACATACAGCGAGAAGTTTAAATATAGCAAAAAAAAGAAAAAAAAAAATTAACTGCCAACATTTCCTTCGTATATATAACTTGGTCTTGACGTCGCATTGACCGTGCCTTCCTGAGTTCCAATTTCAAATTCCACTTTTCAGTAATTTTTCTAAAAAAGTTTTCATGCTTTGCCTGCTCATCAAGTTGCTGCAACGTTTCCTGTATCTTTTTGATATGTAAGTGGTTTAAAATAGTTGCATCAGCGAGAGTCTTTGGCTCCGTGTTGTTCAAATCGACCAATCCTTTTGATTCATCTTCCTATAATAGATACAGAATATAATAGTAAAATGACAAGTATTCCCTTTTTTAGTTCGTATTGAATACGAACTGGGATCCACTTGGTACATGATAACATTTCACAATGATCAGAATGTGAATATTCCCAGGTCGTAAAAAATACTTGTATAGGACGTATCGTTCCAGTAAATGTACTAGGAGGGTTACTGAAGGTTATGCGCAATTATTAATGTTTTGCTGCAGAAAAATTATTTCAAAGATTGTTTAACAACACAGTGAAAATGTACCATCCTTGTCCCTACGAAAACGTTATAAGAATTTTAATTCCAAAATATCATGACTGTCACAGTAAAATAAGGATAAAGAATCAAATAATCCGAACTACTTGTAGGGCAGAGGATGTTTCTGGTTCATTGCACGCTTGCTGTTCAAATGGCTCGTCCCACAGAATCCTTTTACGAACTTTGAAAATTGGATCACTGGAATAACATCTAGTGGACATCTGAAAAACATCAATTCATACAAGTGAAAAAACATCTGAAAAACAACAATTCATACAAGTCTTTCCAAAATTCCACACATGCGCAGCCAGTTAACTTCATATTCCGATAAAGGAGAACCTACCCTCAATGAATTCCACGAATATCTGCATCCATTAGCTGAATGGAATCCCACCTCAGAAAATACAGCTGGCGAAATGTATTTCCATAGCACGCACGTTTTTCGAATCATTGTAAAAGCGCTACGAGTAAATCCTTCTTGTAGGAGTACTCCAAATCCTTTTTCAAAAACCTATCAGAAATCAAACCTGCAACTGCAATCGGAAATCCCCTTTGAAAGAGAGACCAGAAACCTTTGACAAAATAGATTTCACGAAGCGAAATGTGGTTTCAACTTTCAAAAAGCGAATCTGAGAAGAAAAAAAAATAGAAATACTACTTCCTTTAAGAACAAATACATTTCCGAAATTTAAAAATTAGGATTACCCACCAATCAATTCATCTCTTAACAGCACACAATTCGAAAATTATACTAAACCCTAATTATGTCATTCCACTCATCCCCTAACAGTGTAATCACATCCCGCGACCCTTAATCTTCTCTCAAATACAACATTCTTCCACCAAATCTCGCCATTGCGGTATGTCACTATTGATGTAGTTTTCATGAAAACAATCTTTCCAATTCCAACAGCGATCGAAAACGAAAGGTGAAGTCTTGGATACCATAACAGCCAGCTCAAATCCAAAAATATGTCTTTTTTCATGCTTATTATTGTTCTTTCTTTCTTAAACCCAGAATTGTGTGGAGAAGGTATCACTTTTACTATTCCTATCAATTCCATCTTCTCTCATACCTCTTCCTCCTTTCACATTTTATATATTTAATACTTTTTATTGAAGTATTGAATGAGTATTATTTATGAAAACTTTATGAATTTGGATGAACGTAGGCAAATGTATAAGTGAAGGAGTGAAAATGCATAGTTTATCATGCAATGTAGTGCGGAAATAAACGAACAAAAGAAGTGTAATAAACAATCGGCGGTACAATCGGTCCGCTTCGTTGACCCGTATTACTGGCATGACATTTACGTACAAACAGTTATCGCTAATATTGATGAACACTGCTAATACTGCGAATAGCTATATATATCCGCTATCTGACGTAACCTGAAACTTGTTTGGAATCGATTTAAAAATGAAAAGTAGTCAGTTTCACGTTTGTTCACAAATAGGGAAGGGAAGGAGGAACGATGAAGCAATCCGAATTCGAAAAGTATGGTCCTTTCTCATTTCCAAGATAAAGCGGTTATGAATTACTGATTCGAAAATGAGACTAATCAGAGAAACAAAGATTTATTTTCTAGACTTTGTCCTTTATGAACTTTTTTGATTTTTTTAAAGCTTTTTTAAATTTCCTTTGATTTTTTAAATCTTCTTTTCTAGTCCTTTTAGTTCTTGACTTAGTGTAGAATCGTCACTGCTACTCTTGTTAGATCATGCTGTACAGATGTGAGCCCTCATGACACTTTTTTCTCCCTACCATTTGCGACACACGAAGTCTATGAACTTTCGCTTGAAATATCAACATTTTTTCCAGTTTCCGTTGTTAGATTCAAGTTCACCATTTCATGATCCAAAGTTATCTCCGACTCACGACATCCTCGAGATCGTCTGTTACAGACCCATGTATAGCTGTAAGTCGATAGTGTATAAAATAAAATCACTTGGCAATTAATTAATGGGTAAAAGTTTTTAGACGACATAAACCCGAAAAAACTAATTTGTTTTTCAGAGTAAATTAAAAATGCTTGCTAAGTTATTTGATTTTAGTGATTCGATATTTGGTAAATAAAGTTTGTAAAGGAAATACCTTAAATCAGTTTGATTATCACGACAGCTATATAACAGACGATTTCTGTTAGGAATGCTGAATAAAAATCTTTTTAGTGTTACTCGATACGGTGCATATATTAATGCGGTTATCAATGGATTGATTATCTGAAAAACTGAAAGAAGATTACCAGCTATGATGATTTCCTTAGCAAGATAGAAAGAGAAGTTGAGAGCAACAACGGCTCATATCCATTCGCAAGGTCTATGTTGTAGAAATCCTGATAACTCTAATCTTCATTTTGTCAGTAGGGAAAGAGCTAACCGGATTCAAGAAAAGTAGGTAGAGCAGAACATAAGCAAGCCAATTCATTTTGGACTGTGTATCGCAGTCTAGAGTATTCCATTCGAACAGGTGCATTCGGCAAATGTTGAAAATGCGGTATGGTAATAGGCTGAATGATGTCCATGCTGTTGTGGCGAAAATAAACACCAGTGATTTCATCTGCACGTAACATCTTTCTTTCAACAGGAGAGGGCACCTGTTTCACTGCCTTATTTTGTTTGATTTTTCAAAAAAAAAAAGACCCAGAGAAGAAGTTATAGTTCACGGCTAGCAAGAGGAAAAAGGGCACTGATGAAGCCCAGGGAAATAAACCAAGAGCACTGGACATCTGTCGATTGGCTCTCAGATAGTCGTTACTGGAGGGGGGTAAATAACCAATATCAGGGTCAGTTTCCTTCTATTTTTTTTTTTTGAATCAGGAAAATGAAGTAAACATATATTCGTCATTTGCACTAGCTAAAATTAATGCTTTCTTAACTCAAAAATGCAGATTTTGATGATTTAAAAGATTTCACAATAAGGATTCAAGAGGTTGTTTTAGATCATTAAATGGTAAAAAATCCAAACGATCCATTTTTACTTTAAATAAAAAAATTGACACATTTATGGTTTTAATGAACTAACTTTATTCTTAAATTTCTGCGACTGCCCAACAGAAACTCCATTATGACGTTTTTCACGGGTAAGTTGATACAGATAACCACTGACGATTAGAGATGAGGTCACTGGCAGTACACAGTAAGTTAGCATAAATACGTCGTAAAAATACATTTGATCACTAGTCATCTGTAATAAATTCTTATTTTCCATTGATTTTATTTTTTATTTTTAGGAAAAATTAAATGTTGAACTGATTTTCAGAATAATTTTAAAAATATCACAAATGAGTTTGAGCTCCTGGATGTATTAATAGAGAACAGATAAACTCTTGGTCGTTAGTGAAGTGATATTCTTGAAGTACGTATTTACTATTTCATATTAAGTGTAAAATATCAACAATATTGATCCTCTCATAATGGAGGATGATGTCATTTTAAGCACCGAAAGCTCTCTTAGATAGAAATACGTTAATCTCAAAACCACAAAATCCCGTCATAGAAAGCATTCGCCAAAAAGGGTAAAATATCAAAATTGAAAATTTTTATCATAGATAAGTAGTGATGTCAATAATGAGTTTTGTAGACGCTTACTTGCAAATTGCAGTTTTTACCAATGTAAACAACATTGAACATCCAAACCAACGTTACGTATCTGAAATGCTATTTACAATATAACAATATATCGTTGAAGTTTGTCTTATCGTTGTAATATGAGAATGTATTGTTTAAGTACGAACTGCTTACTTGGCAGTATGAATGGAATATTGTATAATTTTATATAACTTGAAACAAGTTATTACGAATAAACTAACTTACTTATCAAATAATTTACTGGAAATATTTCTAAAGTAGAAACAGAATTGAAATTTTATAAGAATCCACACAAAGAATGAATTTCCCGAAGAATTTCAGAAAGAAACTGAAAACCTGCCCTATTGAAATGCTCCAAATGAAAGCACATAAAATGGAAGCTCTTTTTTTCGACATTGCACGATCGTAGCTTAGTGGCCATTGAAAATAAATGAGTTTATCAAGGTTGAGCATTGTTAATGATAGGCCTGACACTGCCAAGCCTAACCAGTTGCAGAAATGAGTTATAGCACACAGGCGCGCATGTTGCAGGAATTCATGTTTGCGAATCAGGAATTCGTTTGGATGACAAAATACTAGAAGTTGAATTTGATTCTTACTGTGTTTCAAACTTTGCAAAGCTTGATGTTCAGCTTACAATCTCAAATAATTGCTATTGCATATATTGCCGTTCACTAAAAAAATGCTGCAAAGTTTTGTTGTTTTGGAACGTCATCATTTTTCTTTGTCAGCTACAGTAAAAAAAAAAATAAGGATAAATCAAAATTTCAGCAGCTGACATATAACATAATTCACTTCTATTCCTTACTAGTATGATACGCTCTATTATCTAGGTTTTGTTTCCCTAAAGTATGCAATTAAAACATCGGCACTAAAGGATGGCTTATGTTTAACTTCCAGTTTTGAATTTCCATCAAAATAACTCTCGAATTTTGATTTCAAAATTTATTACTTAAGTATACATTACTTAAGTGCTACTATTGTTGCACACTTAATCATTCTTGGCAAAACCAAATCTGTCACCTGTAAGTAATAAGTCACCAACAGTCATACTGATAATGAATAAGTGCATCGTATCGCCACTTCGTCGAAATAATTTTACAGCGCAGAAGATTACCAAAACATTGAAAATGGTCGCTGCAACGCTTGCTGCCAACAACAAATCATCTACCTGTAAATTATGCAAAATATTTTCTTCACAAGTTGAAAATGGGTTTTTTTTTGTCAAACAATTTAGAAAAAATGTCAGAGTTTTATTTGTATCTCTCCTCAGATCCATTAGCAAGTCTCATTTCAAGCTGCATGCAGCTAACATTTAAGGAGCGAATCATACAAATGATGATATGTCATAGCCGTCTCCATCAAGTGGAGAGCATCATAGAAAGAGGGAAAAGAGAAAGAGAGTGATAAAATTTCGTACTTTTTTTCGCATGAAATACCAATTTAGTCGTATCTACTATTGGGGTGAATACTCGTGTAATGTACAAAAGAATTCTTTTAAAACTTGCCGTTTTCTGAAATGCTTGAAAATTGTCAGATTCATAACATTTCACTTGAATTGAATTATCCGTCTCTATGCCATCCTCTTCTTTTGTTTCGTTACCAGAATAATCAAATATTTCCTTATCACTTTTTGCCATCATAAATCCTTCCTGAATCTCATTTCTTCGAAAGAAGGATGTGACAGTTACATACCGAAATATTAGAAATCTTCAAAGAGAATCGCAATATTTAAATAAAAGTAAGGTTTGAGAAGCAGTTTAGAATGAATGTTCAACGATCTGTCAAATAGAAACATTTTGTTTTATAGTTTAAACACTTTGCTATTTGTATGAATTGAGGATGAAAAAAATCTACAAAAATAAAATAAAATAATAGAAGTGGTTCAAATCTTTCTTACTAGAACTCTTAATTGAGGTCAATACAAATGTAAAAATTTAATTGCAGCCGAATGCAACATGCCTACAACTGGAAAAATCAGAGCCATTAGAATGACAGTTTCCGGGGAAAAAGTTATTCTTGATATTTTTAACGATGGGAAATGATGATTGATAAATAGAACTATCAAGTACAGCATATCAGTTTTGCAAGAAGAAAACGAGAAATGGCGAAGTGTCAACTTGAAAAGTATAGAGTAGGAAGAGTTGTTGTTCAAATATTTCTAGGAAGTTGGTGAACTTTCCCACTTTACTTTCATTGGTGACTGCGAAAAAGTATTGTTCCATTATCAAACTTCTGATGACAAATATGCCCCGAATTCCCATTCAAGCATTTATTAGAATTTTATTCCGAAAGTAACACTGTCTATATTTAAAAAAAGAAAAATGTTTTGGAAAGTGATAGTTGAAGAAATCCATTAAAATTCTTTGATTTTATATTGAGCTTTATAACAAACAGCTATTCATTTATACCAGTTCAGCTGTATAATGAATATTAAGAGAGCTATCTTAGTATTTGTAGTCATTCATAATCATTCAGTTTTTTTTTCTTTTTATGTTTCCAATCCTATAGCAAATATTAGTAATATCAGTTTGAGGCCAATTATTATACGACTAAGTACTAAAATTATGTAATTTTCAGTTCCAATTTTATGCTTTAATCTTTTAGTTATTCTTATCAAAAATTTAAAAAAGCGGCCTGAAAAAATCAAGTCAGATTTTTTATGATTGCCAATCAAAGTATAAGATATTTAACTCCCATTCGATGTCTCCAATTCCATAGCAAATATCAGTAATGAAATATATTCAGACAATGATTAAGATTGAAGTGGTTGATTAACATACTTTATAGCTTCTATGAAAATTATACCCAATTGACTGGGGCATCTTTTAGTCCAAACCAGTTTTCATTTGGATATGTAATTTATCAAAAGGTAACAAATAAAAAGCTCTAAATAAATAATTGTCACACTATGATTTTGGCTAAAACTGAATAAATAAAAAAGGACAAAGTTTCGGCCATTCAACTTTATCATTTAACGAATTTTCAAAAAAAAAAAGAAAAGAAGGAAAAACTAATTTAAGAACTCTCTCTCCATAAAGAATTGCACATTTGGTCTCCTAAAAGTGAATAAAACTATGAATTTTCCAAATATTGTAAGATTAGATCTTTGTTGGCATGCAAATGTACGTGCGTATACTCGTATGCATGCATATGTCCAAGTACGTATGTGTTATTGTCTGAGTATGTATGTGAGTGTTTATGTAGGTCAATTACTTGTGTCAACTACATGTTTTTGAAAGGAATGTTTTTTTTTCTCATAACACATAATGGGTACATTTCTACTTATAATCATAGAAATAGAACAATGAACGGTATTAGACAAAGTTTATCTAATGATAATTAGGGTGACAAATGAAAATCTGTCGTTTGAAGAATTAAATTTTCGGTAATTTACATATGTAAAAAATGTCTAAGTTTGGTACAGCATCGCATAAGGACATTAAATAAAAAGGATATTTATAAAACGACTCCTAAATTAAGCATACCTATCTATTGTCAAGATTTTGAGACATACGCCGCTGATACATAAAGTTTGGAAGTAAAAGCAATTAAGCCTGATTGCTTAAGGCTGACTTTGTAGCAGTGGAAAGGTGTTAGTAAATATAATCATAGGAAAGGTGCTGTTGTAACACTTAAGGGCATCTGTCGATTGCATAGGACATTAACGAGTAAGGAAATGTAACGAGAAAGCATTCATGGTCTTTCATGTAAACATATGGTTTTAATTTTGATCCATCTTTTCTAAATTAACTTTTTGCTTCCTTAATGAGATCAACTGTGAGAATGTCAATTCAGTTGTGCTCAAAGTCTTTTGTCTTTTGTCATGTACTCTTTCCTAATAGAATTACTGATTGTAATGAGAAATTACTATAAAATTGAACACTGGCTAAACATTTTCTCTCACAATTTTTTGGAATTTTAACCCTTAAATTTTAACCCTTTTATTTGTGATGCTTTTAAAGATTGAAGGAATCATTTTATGACTTATTACCGGTGATAATAGAAAACTTGACATTGATTTGTGCTTACTGAAAAACGAACAGCAAAAACGACGAAGTTGAAATCCGGAATTAATCCTCACCCGCCAGTATTGTCACCATATTATGAACTAATCGATAGTCGGAAGAATCGAAGTGCATAGTTCAGTCATAATTAAACTTTTAAAAAGGTAAGGAAAGAAGGGAAACAGTGTGGGAAGATAAATAGATAAGGATAAAAAATGGATGGTAGAACAAGAAAGTGGAATTTAGAAGCAAAGAAGTTTCTAACAGACATGTAATTTAATTGCTCATGGAATGTTACCATCTTTCGATAAACAATGGCAGTGTACACACACACACACACACACACACACACACACACACACACACACATACACATATACATACACAAGAATGTCTGCAACAGGTATATGTAGAACCGGTATTTGGAGTGGTTATTGATTAAGGAAAAATTTCCCCGGTTGAACTGTAAGTATCGAGCAATCTTAAAATAACTGAAGTTTGATAGTCTGTTTTCACCTCAGTTCACACACGCATTTGGCTTTAAATAGTTTTTTAACTTCAATGGTCATAATTGTAGACACGCGTGACCATATATGTCCACATGCTGCCGAATTCGATTCTCTAAGCGAACACAATGAGCGACATTATCAGTTTACAGCTGTGACAGGTGATAGTGTTGAAGAGAAATGCACCTAATAAATAATTTTTTTAAATCAATAAGCAGTAAATAGTTCTTAAAAAGCATAAAGATGAAATCGAATGCTCGTGAACATGTACTCCCTAAATTGGAATAGGAAATTAAAAAATTTTAAAACTGGAAAAGGATTCTTTAAAAAACCACAATTAAAAGTTAAAAAAGTAAATTAAAAAGAAATTAAAAAAAGTGAATTGAAGAAAAAAAATAAAAAAATAAATTAAGTAAAATAAAAAGTTTTCAAAAATGAATTCTCCCAAAAAATCTTTGCAACAGCTAGGAGGAGCTGCCAGCTATTGGATCTGGTCGAGAAATTTGGAATTTGATGGGTCACAGACGGGTTATCATCCAGTTACGAGTTGGTGAAGGTGCCATGTTTCCTGTTATAGTACAGATTTATTACAATATAAACATTCCGAAAGTTCCCGACTAGCATTTCATAGAGAAGCTTTTAGGAAATATAAATATCGAAGAAAAAGTAACTCCATTTGGATTCATTACTTCTTCTAACAGAATGAGATTTCGGATTTGTGATATAACATTAGATGGCGAAGAAAAATCATGGGACATAGCCTAGACTAAAATGAAGAGTACAGATGAGGTGACCATCGCAAATCGCACTGCTTTTACCTGGAGTTATCCGGTAAAGACACGACGAATTATAAGACTGGAATGGGATCAAATGTTGAATTATGCTAATCGTTCACGTATCAGTCGACAGCCATCGCTTCCGTGATACCATCATTATAACCGGTTGAGATTAAATATAAACTTGTTATTTACGTTCAGGAGAAATTTATTGGCGGCGTAAAATATGCGCTAATTCTAAGAATAAGGCAGAAAGAGAGGAAAAGTGGAAAAGGATTGTGGAACAGAATTATATCTAATTGAAAATATTGTCCGATATAATAGCGGAGTAATTACCGTAAATTGGACGTTATTAAATGAAAAACAAACTTCTTGATGTAAAGAAACTCTAAACTTATTTTGTCTAAATTATTTAAAGTATAATGTAGTTTAACCTACAAGTAGTGAACATTAATCTCTTGAAATGCACTTCACCAGAATTAAACCAGAAAAAAGTTCCTATCATTCTATTCTGACAGAATTATTGTTTGAAATTAAAATAATAAGATAAATGAATGGAACTCTTTACATACACACTTCCTGATCCTATTAAACTTACTTCTACATTAAACCGACGTTTCGCTACCACCGTCTTCAAGTAAGAATAACATTGTTTGATAGCAGAAAGGGTCGTGTCATAATTGTATGTCTCTTAATGTACTTCCCATTACCCTAATAAACAAAAGATACAAGTAATTTGATCAAATGTTCCTAGCCATTCTAATGAGTAATATAGTTTAGTAAAAAGGAAAAAGTTTCCTAGTGAAAAGGTTTCCTTCAAACCGATCTCCAGAAAACGGATAAAGATCTTCTTGACAAGTTAAAAGTTCTCCCTTCTTGTGATAGCATCCATTGCATAATAAACTACGTCCTAAGTTGGAAGTTTTTAGCAGTGACACTGATTGAGTTGATATGCATTTGTAACTTTGTCCTTTTGAAAGCAATATGTCTCTACAAACGACAAGTTATCGTTTTCTAAATCTCCTCGAATTTTATCTTTCGAGAAATTTTAGAAAGTGATAAGAGTTATAAAACAATGAAGAATACAATGCTTTTTATGAATAAACTGTCAGATTCGTCCTATTGAACTGGATTATTTCTCTTCATTCTTCCTCAAGCAAATTTCATTAATCATGAATAATTTTTGCTGGATTTGTCGCATATCCTAATATCGTACATTCAGAAGAGGAAGGAATAAAGAGAGAAAGCTTAGGCGTTAATTCACAAGTAAGCAGCATAATGTTGTCACTTTCACTTGGTATGACTACGGTAACGATGTGGAGTTGACAAAACTGGTAAGGATGATAACCATTGCTAGGTAGCAGTAGCCGCATTTATCACTAAACATATTGAAAAGGAAAGTAATTAATCAAATGGTCAGGAAGACAGGATTAAACAATCGAAATTTCATTGCTAACAAGTTGGAAATGTTTCGTAAATCTGATATTTGCTATGATAAAGTTAATTCATAAGCTTGTTTGTCTGGAAGCAATCTAAGATGTATAAGTGCCAAAATGCTAAGTTAATAAGTAAGACACGTGAACTAAGAGATCATATCATAACGAAAAGAGATTTATCTATCGAGCATCCTTATATACTTTAATAAATCAAGCAGCAATAGCGAAGGAAGCTTGGCAAATGGAATAATTACTGTCTAAAAAAGAATAAATGCAACTTTCGTTATTTAGCTTGTTTAATTCATTTATTTATTTGTTTATTTATTTAATTAATTAACTAATTGATTGATTAGTTTGTATATATATTTATTTATTTATTCATTCATTCATTCATTCATTATTATTATTATTATTATTATTATTATTATTATTATTATTATTATTATTATTATTATTATTATTATTATTATTATTATTATTATTATTATTATTATTATTATTATTATTATTATTATTATTATTATTATTATTATTATTATTATTATTATTATTATTATTATTA